ACACGAAACAGCGGCGTGATCCGCCCGTGTTACGAAACGATGCAAGCGAGGCGCTCATAAGTGGCACTAAGCGCTTCGGGCGCGATCTTTAGTGGATGAGCGATGCAGTGTTGCGTAATTTCACTATGCTGCAGCCTGCATGGTCGTTTAAAAGTCCTGTTTCATCTTCCGAGTGAGAACAAACTTTTCCCGAAAAGCAAAGGACTGATGTAATTGCACACGCAGAACTCGACAAAGAATGCGCCAAAAATGAGAACTGGCGCAACAATACGAACCACGCAAGTTGGATTCAGGAGGTGGGAAGTCCTGAATAGTGTTCGTCAAACTGGTCCGAAAGAAGGCACGCACAAGAATGTGGGAGGAAAATTGGAATATCCACAGCGGGCGAAGCGAGAGTTGAATTAGAGTGCGGCTGTACGGCGTGACTACTTAAAGGTTCCTTGTTTCGGTACAGATGTGATACTGGCGATTCGCCAGCAGTTGGCTATCCTATGTCGATGTAAGCACATAGTGCACATTTCAGGAAAGGGATGTGCTAAGATATTAGCACATTTTTTAAGGACTATAGGAGAGATTCCGTCCAGACCGGACGCTTCGCACGACTGTATTCGTATTAATTCCTTGTGAACCGTCACACTATGGGGGGTGAAGATTGTGGGGAGAGTTGTACAGTAGACGATAAGTGTAAGGTTGGATCATCTTCCTGCCCACAAAAGTTGCGGATTAATTCTTCCACATCGAGAGCAGAGTATGTGATATTGCGGACGACTCCACTCAGGTTCTTCATCATTTTCCTTGATCCTAAATGTTATGCTTGGGTCATGATAGCAATGGCTGTTCCGGGGTCTGGAGAGAACCAGCTTGGTTCCAGAAAGCTGAATTGGGTCAGAAGCAATTATCGGTCTAGGAAAGGGCAATACGTGTGCTAGGAGTATCGTAAAAAGGCTGTGAATAATCAATGTAAGCACAAGTATGCACTCCAGCTATCTGCCAAAACATGTGATACCGAAGCGCCGACCACGAGACATCTCACCTGCGGACGGTGGGGGATAAAAACAAATGCCAAACAGCAAATGTACATCAGTGAGTGGCTTTACTAATCTAGACCGGAAATCTTCGGTATTGCTCCAAAGTACAAAAAATCGGAAAGTGTTGGCAGGTCGAAAGAAAAAGTAAGGAAGAAAACTCAAATAGGTTACACAGTAAATGCATGAAAGAGTAAACACGTGCCAAATCCCCATGGAACCCGACGCATGTCAATAGGCAGAAAATCACGAAGAAAAAGGCTTCGTTTCAAGGTCAAGTGATCTGATGGTGTCCGCCAACTTCTCTTCATCTAGGCAACGTTTTCCAAGCCGTTCCACCTCCGGCAAATCCAACTGGAGCATGCTTTTATTAAGTTTGTACTAAAATGAAAACGAAAAAAACGAAATGAACCAAAGAAGTACCTAAACACCCGAAAAGCTGAAATGAGATTAACAAAAAATGAAAAATACATGGAGGACTCATAAGAAGTAGGTGTCAAAACGGGTTCACACATCAAGGGAAGCTACTCTGAAGCGAAAATAGAAATATGTATATCAGTAACTGAAAAATTCCCATTTAATCATCAAGAATAAGTGGCCGAAGATAAACAATTGTTTTTGATGAATTCATCTTCACATCTTTACAATCACATAAGTAAAGGTCTGAAGATGAATTCATCGAAATACGTATACGGTTCTTGCTAAGCCTGCTGAACCGTTAGGATAACCGAGCTCGAGGACAGAGGTCAGAAATGACTAACCGGACTGTAGACGGAGAGCGATGTTAGCTTTATGAATTTCTGGTAACCTCCAATGCTTTGAAACGTTTACGCCAATGTAAGGCTATCATATGAAGCGTCCGAAATGTACTTCTAAGTTTTTGCAAGCATTTAGTTCTGTTTCTAAATTTGTTCAATGTGGTCCGTTTTTCCGTGTTGCAAGAAAACGGCTTCGTCGCTCAGTATTGCTGTCCGCTTATCCATGTAGTCTGTTCTGTCTTGCAGCACAGTGCCAGTCCGCTTGTCCGAACTGCGCAGGATGACCTCCTCACCGCGCCTCAGTTCCTTCAGCGTATCCAGTTACTTTTGTGTTAGCGGGGTCTGAGTACGGAAGTAATGTTTGCGATACTGGTATCAGTAATTCAGCAAAAAGCACCCAAAACGTTCCAGATCGGTATTTGACTTAACGACTAACCCTTTCTTCTGGTCATATAAGCTTTCAAATTGAAATAACCGAGCTGAACGTTCCTGCATATAGGAACGCAAAAGGTTAAGCCAAGCGATAGAACTTCTATTAGTTGGGTTCATTTTAAAACCAGAAAGGTTTTGTACGTACCTCTGGACTGTTTGGAAAAATAGCTTGTTGCTTACGGTGGCTCAGCCACTTTGCTAAAGAAGAACGGCTTTGCTGTACACGGTTGCTAGTAATAGGCTGAACATGATGTAGAACCCCTTTTCGTGCGCACTATTAGATGCAGTTGGTCATACATGTTGTTGACTCAATGTAACTTTGAAACAGAGTCGGGGAAACTAATTTTCACTATAAAGCCCCCAATACCGCTAATGATGGAATTGTACCAGTTTAAGTGAAACTCGCTTCTAAGTTCTCCACTGTAATCGGAGTGCAGTAAGGCCGCTTGAGCTCGCATCCACTTCTCAACCTTATGATCGAAAGAATAATGAATAATTCAGTTCTGGCTGCTTCACTCTATAGGGCAGGAATTCAGCCAGATGACCAACTAGTAAACTTGGAGCATGCAGGGACATAGTTCTCCTAGGATTGGGACTAACTACCAAGCAAGTACAACCGAATATGTCAATGCGCAGCACTGCCCGCATGACATGTGTCGTTCGCCAGAAGTGCGAAATACGACACAGGCTGAACAGATAAACCTCTAGCTATCATAATCACTAAAAATTCAAACTGATATACTCTCACCTACTCAAATGTATCATCTCGAGTGGCGCAAGTATTAAAAAGGCTGTCGAACGCAGTGACAAGTCTCTAGCGGTATTATATAGCCTTAGTTAGCTAAGAAAGTGTTGTGATAATTGCTCATCGATTAAGAGCAGAGTGCAGGACGGCGTAGCGCAGTCTGTCTATACATCGCATGTGCAGCCCAGAGCGTTGAAGACAGTAAAAGAACAGCAGTCTTCGGATAACGATGCCAACTAATCAGGGCTCGTTGATGGTGGGAGCATTGATATAGTACTGTAGTATGCCATCTGTTCGGCTAATAAACTCGATAGTAGTTACGTCGCTTGCGTTGGCTAAGCCCTGTCCGTCGCAGGACAATACTGATCATCTGTTTGAGCGGGTAATTTTTTGTCAACAACGAAGTTAACTGGATGAAACTCCGAGGTAGTCATCCGGTATCATGGCAAAAAATGAGCAAAAATGAGTCGTGCTACACAACAAAGGAATTATGTTGGACCACAGAGTACTTCTATGAAGTTGCATAGGTGGGTAGAATATGCATAAAAATGACGGCAAGCGGCACCGTTATACAAGAAAACTGCCAGCGAAGCAGAAGTAGATGACTAACTGTCTCTTTCAGAAAGCATCAGCGATATCAGACGCACAGATTCAATGAGCAGTGTAAAGTAGTATCGCTCCGTTGCGAAAGAGATTACGTCTCGGTTACGGTAGCCGATGTGGCTGATTAGTTAACATTCAACGAAATGCCGCACAAGAGGGAGAGGAGCTTCCGAGAGCTTGGTCATTGAGAACTATACCATTTCCCACCTATGTTCGTGAATAGTTCAAATACATTCGTTTGATCACGATGCGAAATGGTTTGTTACCATCTCAAGTTTGTGATGCTGGCATCGATCGTGATTGCGCGCAGTCGTATCGTGGCCTCATTGTTCAGCGGCCTCAGTTAATTGGAAATGGGAGGTGGGTGATGTGAGAATTGTAGGCATGTGGTCGGACTCTCTCACCCGCGCGATGATGGGGTGATAATGTTAATATCTGAGGACACCAACTGCTGGCTAGGATGTAAGCTGCGCCACTGTCACGACCGATAGTCGGTAAAGCAAGTCGGAATACCTAGGTCAACGATTATGACGTAAATAGCCACGGTCTAGGCGCTTGTCCGTGGTAATTATTGCGAGGGGAACAAAATTACGTTGCGCATAGAATGGCCGGGTCATGGTTGTCTGTGATGGGACCGGGAAGCTGCATGTGAACCACTGCACTTCATCAAGCTGACCGGTGTGCACTAACACAATGAATCAGTGAACCTTTCATGCCTCGGCAGTGAGGGAGTCGGCTCGCGCCTGGTTACAAATCAAAAGATAAACCATTGTGTTTCACAAACGACATCTTCCAACATAGGTTTATTGAGAATTCACTCCAATATGCGCTGACTATTGGAAGCAGTTGAGCATGCCTGGGAAAAGTGCTAAGGAAGGGGTTCTTGTACTCGTACAAGGTATCTATGGATCTGTTTTCATCACACAGCAATCGTGGTTATTGTACTTTGGTTCTTGTCTCATTGATGAACATAAGCACCTTCCAACGTAGAATGCGGTTACAATTTTACAAAAGGACTGTCAGGAATAACAATAAATGGATAAAACGAGATGACAGCCTTCTCGTTCTCTGAATATCTAATCAACCAGGCATAACATAGTTTTCTACAGGCATGGTCAGGTGCGACTTACTAAGTAGACTTTCTTAAGCACATAACAATGGCTGCTGGTGACTAAAAGGTCCACCGTAGGTATATATCTCGATATGCCGAAACCATTTCACCGAGTTCCACACTTTAGATCGCGAAACGTATAAATATGTTAGCAACTTTGAAGTTGTTTGTATCTACCGACTTCCTCGAGCAACCCACTATGAAACCTAGTAGCTAATGTATGCTATCTACACAGTTTTTAACAATACCTACAAGTCTAAACTTATGTGCGAAGATTTCAACACGCCACAAGTTAACTGGTTACTTCCTGGACCTACGGTCTAAACGGGACTAGACGAAATAGTGTACTCTATCCAATTCAACAGCTGCATCACCCATGTCAGAGGGCCCACCAGAAATGCCAATACCCTAGCTTTAGTATTCACCGTGAGGATCCGTTCCACTTGTGCACTCATTAACAGTCCACTACTGGGCTGCAACCACAACATGACGTTTTGTATCGTGAACTCATGTACAACGTTGCAACCCACTCGTAACATTCAACGAATTGACTGAAATGCATTTAAGGAACTTATCTGCACTATGAATTGGGAGTCATCATTCTGAATCAATAACCCAACCATGGCTGCCGGTGCATTTGTCAACAACATTGCTACGTGTACCGATGTGCTGGCATCTGTGGTAAGGAGCCGCATCTATACGCAATGTGGTAAACATACACAATTGAACAAGGCCAAAAGCAAACGGAAGAAACCTAGGGTTTCTAATCACAGGGTCAACATTTTCGCTATGCTACCATATTTACATGGGGCCATATTAAAGCTGTAACTGTTGAAGCAAAGCGCCGTCGCAGACGAAATTCGAGCGCTTAAAAATCATGAAAATGCAAGGGCACTGACATGGCTACTTAGGACCATAAACCGCATCAAGTAACCATAACATTGGCATTATACGATGGCTCATCACCATGTGACATATCCTGTTTATGCGCTCCTACGTTAACTGTCAGCTACAGTTCTTTCACTATATTACAATCATGATTGACAAAGGAATGGCGCTAATCATAATTCTTCCTGGACTTGTGAAATGCCTTCGACCGCGTAACACACAAGCCACTGCTAGCTATGCTGCAATCAGGCGGTATTGCAAAACTTCTGCTAAGCTGAACGATCGGATACAGAGAGTCTAAACGGGACAGAAGTACTCCACGTCGGAACGAATAACCAGTGATGTCTTCTAGTGACGCGTGCTCGAGCCGCTACTTTTCTTTATCTACATAACTAATAGATGCGATCCCGTAAGATTTGGACGTCCATTTTCATCCGCGGATGATGCTAAATTAGTCTGCTCATTGCTACCACTACGCCAAGGTAACATACGCCACGACCTATCCGCGCTGAACGCATCCAGCGAAAGACCGTCTGCGCAAGAAAATCGCACATACTCGGGTACAGATGTCGAATCTCAGAAGGCTCCATCACACTTGCCGGGTCCATTATCAGAACATCTGATTCAGTCACAGATTTGCGAATTAGAGATTTAAACATCTTCCAATTTCTCTCAACATATTCTACATCAAGTCGCAAAAGCCAGAAAACGATCAGGCTAGATTACTGGAACGTTCTCCTTACCTGAAACCCGACCTGAACTATTCAAGCTCATATTGAGGCCTATCCTGGAGTATTGTAACACCATTAACAACCAATCAAGAAGGGAAGACAGGATAGCTATAGAAAACGTCCAGTAATCATTTATCAAGCTGGACATGGGTTATCGATGAACGCTGAGTTACCACGATCCATGTCATTACCTCCGTTTGCACCCATTTTGGCTGCGACGTCTGAAAATTCATCTCAGTGTTTCGCTCTTCGAACATTTTTGGGGGGTGCGATGGCGCTTTTCCCGCTACGCTCCCGACTGACACTGATTCCAACACCCCCACTTCATCCTTTACAAATACCGCCTCGCTGAATTTATCTACCTGAAGTTTTGCAGGCAACCCAACGGAAAACAAGACACTGCACTTGTTCCTATTTAATTATTGTTTATGGTTACATAAAATGCACTTCTTACCTAATATTCTTCGCCTTTTATCTCCTGCTGTAGGTAGTACGAATATCAGAAACATGGTGTTCGACGGAAATGGTAGACACTGTTTGGGACATTGAGTTAGAACATCTTTTGTGATGACCGCTCTTCTGGTCAAGATGGTGGCTGTCTAATTTATGTCAAAGACACATGCCTGGTTCTTCTTTTGGATGAAGCACTCCATCGGATAATACTTGATTCGGTGTGGATTACCATTTCTAGTTATCCAACAAATCTTTTAGTAGGTTGCATTTACAGACCACGCTCATCTGCGGTCACCGTAACTGATAAAGTGATCGACTCTTTTCTTTTAGTGTCGACCTCTCATACACTAATAAAAATATCGCTGGGGATTTGAATATGCCCGAAATCAAATGTTTACCTAATAATTAGTCACAAACGCGCAATACATTTATGCCTATCATTGATCGACTGGGATGGGTACAGCAGGTCAAAGAGCCTACCTGGTATGGTAACGCACATGATATAATATTTGCTATGAGATGTTCAAATGTGTTTACGTACATCAGTGGCAAACTACCGGGGAGTGATCCCAACATTGTCGGTTGTTCTTCCCAAATTCTTTCTAAACCGATAGAATCGGTGACCAAATAATACCCATTTCCTTCTGTGAATTGGTCAGCCTTCTAAGATCTCATAAGGTCTTCGAATTGGGATCCATTTTTCTTAGCACAGGATGTACAAATTTCGTGTGATGAGCTATACCACCGCATTCAGCTTCACATTGAAGTTGTAGCTTCAGAATACACTAAGATGTTGAAAAGGATTGCTGCTCCAGTAGGTATCTCGAAAAAGGTAGCCACCAAACTACATAAAATAGAGAAAAAGTTTAGGAAAGCAAACGATATTATCCTATTGATGATCCACGCCAGAATGCTAACAGCGTTGCATCATGATCACCACAAAATGTTATACTCCGATGAGGTAATGGTACTGAAGGGCGTAAAGGTGACAGGCTCCATTGCAAAACGTTTGGATCGTAGACAGAACAGGAAATCAAATTATTTCGACTCGATTGTTAACTCTCATGAAACTGCCATAACCGACCGCATAATCATGGTCGTTCTTCAAAGACTACATCATGTCTACCTATAGTACCAATGCGATAAATGAAGTACAACCCATGCTGATAAGCAAATGGAGCAATACACTCCAAACTGTTGAATTAAAACTTGGTGATGTATGTGGCGCAATCAGAATAGTTAGGTCATCATGCTCTCCAGGCCCTGACCACATCCGGCCAAATTCAGCAAAATAAGGAGGCCCAGCTTAATGTATTTAAGTCTTTCAAAATCAAAGGAGAGTATCTTATGCACTGGAAACAATCGATTATAATCCCACGATAAGGGTGGTTCAATGCAAGATTTAAAAGATTACCACCTAATCTACCATACAGCCATTACTTCCAAAATCATGGGGTTAGTTAAAGAACGCATAATATAATACTTGAGTGCTATGAACTTTATCAGTAAACAGCAGCGCGGTTTTATAAAGGGTAGGTCACGCACCATCTGTCAGATTATCTTATGTAACTAGAACAAGTGCTAGCGTTGTAATATTTCTTGATAGCCAAAAAGCTTTTGACCGTGTCAAACACAACTTATGGTATCAAAAATGCGCTTCTAAATTGATTATCTTACTATATTGAGGGTAGAAAGCAAGTAGTTAGAAGTGATGGACGTCATAGCATTGGAAAACATTTACCGGTCATTCACAAAGATGTTTGAATATGCCTAACATTAAGACTTACCGTGAGTGTTTGGTGACTCTAAAACTGAAGGCGCTATGGCTGCGCAGACTCAAGCTTAACCTGTGCCTTTTCCATTACCTAATATTCGAGTTAGGCTTTACAACTGAGCCACAATTCGAGGTTTTCACTACTAAGTGCTATGATATGAGAAACAGCGAACGCATACCGCATATACAAGTCTCGTACCAAGCTCTGCACGAATTGTTTCTCAGTAAAATATGCGTTGCTATGGAATAAACTTCCATCGAATATCAGAAAATGCTCTATCCATCTGCAATTCAATCGAATGAACAATGGTCACCTGGCTATTGTCAACAATTAGCCGAAAGCACAAAACTTGTGAAGAGAACTCTTTTCGGTAATTCATCTCAGACAACTACAAGACAGACAAACGTACAGGTAAGCGAACGCTGGGGATGTGATTAGTTGAACGAAGTCGATCAATAGTCCACTTGATACAATCAGACGTGATGAGTCGCGCGAGCACGCGCGGAGACGCACACACGCACAAACACAGACGCGTTGGCCGGAAGGTCTACAAGTCACTCTCAGTCGTAACCACGGTCCGACATTAGGGTCACGGCAACAGTACAGTGCATTTGAGAAGAGTCTTTCGTTTTTGCTCAGTCGCCGCGCTGGTCAGGGGTAGATTGGAACGCACTAATTTGCCGACCCACCAATGGCATGTACGTCTACTGTATTTACTCATCCACGCATGTCTGGGGGTGTGAATACGACGTGAGGACGCATTGCGGTGCATGTGTCCTTGAAATATGTTAATGACCCTCGTCGATTTCGACAAAGGCCAGCTCAGATTGGGTC